TTAGAAATTTATTTTTTTTTTAAATTTTTGTCATTTTTTGATGTTATGATGTTGAAGAAATTCAAAAAAATGAAGAAATGTCCCCAGGCTGAAGTTCAAAACTCCATAACTCAACTTCTCTTGATCGGATTTTGAAGTGGCATACCTCTAAATGTTTCTGGAGCAATTCTCTAAACATCTGCATTCAAATTTAGAAATTTATTTTTTTTTTTAATTTTTGTCATTTTTTGATGTTATGATGTTGAAGAAATTCCAAAAAATGAAGAAATGTCCCCAGGCTGAAGTTCAAAACTCCATAACTCAACTTCTCCTAATCGGATTTTGAAGTGGCATACCTCTAAATGTTTCTGGAGCAATTCTCTAAACATCTGCATTCAAATTTAGAAATTTATTTTTTTTTTAAATTTTTGTCATTTTTTGATGTTATGATGTTGAAGAAATTCAAAAAAATGAAGAAATGTCCCCAGGCTGAAGTTCAAAACTCCATAACTCAACTTCTCCTAATCGGATTTTGAAGTGGCATACCTCTAAATGTTTCTGGAGCAATTCTCTAAACATCTGCATTCAAATTTAGAAATTTATTTTTTTTTAAAATTTTTGTCATTTTTTGATGTTATAATGTTGAAGAAATTCAAAAAAATGAAGAAATGTCCCCAGGCTGAAGTTCAAAACTCCATAACTCAACTTCTCCTAATCGGATTTTGAAGTGGCATACCTCTAAATGTTTCTGGAGCAATTCTCTAAACATCTGCATTCAAATTTAGAAATTTATTTTTTTTTTAAATTTTTGTCATTTTTTGATGTTATGATGTTGAAGAAATTCAAAAAAATGAAGAAATGTCCCCAGGCTGAAGTTCAAAACTCCATAACTCAAGTTATCTTAATCGGATTTCGACGTGGCATACCTCTAAATGTTTCTGGAGCAATTCTCTAAACATCTGCATTCAAATTTAGAAATTTATTTTTTTTTTAAATTTTTGTCATTTTTTGATGTTATGATGTTGAAGAAATTCAAAAAAATGAAGAAATGTCCCCAGGCTGAAGTTCAAAACTCCATAACTCAACTTCTCCTAATCGGATTTTGAAGTGGCATACCTCTAAATGTTTCTGGAGCAATTCTCTAAGCATCTGCATTCAAATTTAGAAATTTATTTTTTTTTTAAATTTTTGTCATTTTTTGATGTTATGATGTTGAAGAAATTCAAAAAAATGAAGAAATGTCCCCAGGCTGAAGTTCAAAACTCCATAACTCAACTTCTCCTAATCGGATTTTGAAGTGGCATACCTCTAAATGTTTCTGGAGCAATTCTCTAAACATCTGCATTCAAATTTAGAAATTTATTTTTTTTTTAAATTTTTGTCATTTTTTGATGTTATGATGTTGAAGAAATTCAAAAAAATGAAGAAATGTCCCCAGGCTGAAGTTCAAAACTCCATAACTCAACTTCTCTTAATCGGATTTTGAAGTGGCATACCTCTAAATGTTTCTGGAGCAATTCTCTAAACATCTGCATTCAAATTTAGAAATTTATTTTTTTTTTAAATTTTTGTCATTTTTTGATGTTATGATGTTGAAGAAATTCAAAAAAATGAAGAAATGTCCCCAGGCTGAAGCTCAAAACTCCATAACTCAAGTTATCTTAATCGGATTTCGACGTGGCATACCTCTAAATGTTTGTGGTGCAATTCTCTAAACAACTGCATTCAAATATAGAAATTTATTTTTTTTTTAAATTTTTGTCATTTTTTGATGTTATAATGTTGAAGAAATTCCAAAAAATGAAGAAATGTCCCCAGGCTGAAGTTCAAAACTCCATAACTCAACTTCTCCTAATCGGATTTTGAAGTGGCATACCTCTAAATGTTTCTGGAGTAATTCTCTAAACATCTGCATTCAAATTTAGAAATTTTTTTTTTTTTTAAATTTTTGTCATTTTTTGATGTTATGATGTTGAAGAAATTCAAAAAAATGAAGAAATGTCCCCAGGCTGAAGTTCAAAACTCCATAACTCAACTTCTCTTGATCGGATTTTGAAGTGGCATACCTCTAAATGTTTCTGGAGCAATTCTCTAAACATCTGCATTCAAATTTAGAAAGTTATTTTTTTTTAAAATTTTTGTCATTTTTTGATGTTATAATGTTGAAGAAATTCAAAAAAATGAAGAAATGTCCCCAGGCTGAAGTTCAAAACTCCATAACTCAACTTCTCCTAATCGGATTTTGAAGTGGCATACCTCTAAATGTTTCTGGAGCAATTCTCTAAACATCTGCATTCAAATTTAGAAATTTATTTTTTTTTAAATTTTTGTCATTTTTTGATGTTATGATGTTGAAGAAATTCAAAAAAATGTAGAAATGTCCCCAGGCTGAAGTTCAAAACTCCATAACTCAACTTCTCTTGATCGGATTTTGAAGTGGCATACCTCTAAATGTTTCTGGAGCAATTCTCTAAACATCTGCATTCAAATTTAGAAATTTATTTTTTTTTTAAATTTTTGTCATTTTTTGATGTTATGATGGTGAAGAAATTCAAAAAAATGAAGAAATGTCCCCAGGCTGAAGTTCAAAACTCCATAACTCAACTTCTCCTAATCGGATTTTGAAGTGGCATACCTCTAAATGTTTCTGGAGCAATTCTCTAAACATCTGCATTCAAATTTAGAAATTTATTTTTTTTTAAATTTTTGTCATTTTTTGATGTTATGATGTTGAAGAAATTCAAAAAAATGAAGAAATGTCCCCAGGCTGAAGTTCAAAACTCCATAACTCAACTTCTCTTGATCGGATTTTGAAGTGGCATACCTCTAAATGTTTCTGGAGCAATTCTCTAAGCATCTGCATTCAAATTTAGAAATTTATTTTTTTTTTAAATTTTTGTCATTTTTTGATGTTATGATGTTGAAGAAATTCAAAAAAATGAAGAAATGTCCCCAGGCTGAAGTTCATAACTCCATAACTCAAGTTATCTTAATCGGATTTCGACGTGGCATACCTCTAAATGTTTGTGGTGCAATTCTCTAAACAACTGCATTCAAATTTAAAAATTTATTTCTTTTTTAAATTTTTGTCATTTTTTGATGTTATGATGTTGAAGAAATTCAAAAAAATGAAGAAATGTCCCCAGGCTGAAGTTCAAAACTCCATAACTCAACTTCTCCTAATCGGATTTTGAAGTGGCATACCTCTAAATGTTTCTGGAGCAATTCTCTAAACATCTGCATTCAAATTTAGAAATTTAATTTTTTTTTAAATTTTTGTCATTTTTTGATGTTATGATGTTGAAGAAATTCAAAAAAATGAAGAAATGTCCCCAGGCTGAAGTTCAAAACTCCATAACTCAACTTCTCTTAATCGGATTTTGAAGTGGCATACCTCTAAATGTTTCTGGAGCAATTCTCTAAACAACTGCATTTAAATTTAGAAATTTATTTTTTTTTTAATTTTTTGTCATTTTTTGATGTTATGATGTTGAAGAAATTCAAAAAAATGAAGAAATGTCCCCAGGCTGAAGTTCTAAACTCCATAACTCAACTTCTCTTGATCGGATTTTGAAGTGGCATACCTCTAAATGTTTCTGGTGCAATTCTCTAAAAGCTTGCATTCAAATTCCAGAAAATTAACGAGTGAGTAACGGGTATTTGATAGTCGGGGATCTCTATAGCATTCCATCTTGCTTTTTTCTCTGCTTTAGCTGTTTGCTGTTGCCCGGTGTATGTGTATTTGGAATTTTCCATGCAAATAAGTCGAAGGTGGTCGAAATGTATAACACCGTGCCCCTCTCCGTCGTCGGCATTCCAATTAATATTCGGTCTACAAATTGAATTTCTATAGTTGCCTTATGTGGCCATAATCAGCTGGCCATCTCCTCCGTATTTATTGCGTTTGCAGCCTTTTCCGACTACGCCTTATGGTGCCAACATGTTTGTGGAAGTGGTGGTGGTGTAAGTGGCTTAGTCAGGGTCCAACTAATGCAATTGTCGTGTTTTGGCCACGGATTCTGGATGCCATATTCCGGTTCCGTTTTTTTCTTGGCCCGAGCTCCACTTACTGTTTACATTGGCGCCGCGATGCACTGATGGCCTTGCCGGCAGGTGGCCTGCCAACTACGAACCCTCGCCAAGGACACGTTTTTGCACCCTTTTTGCCAGCCCCCCTTTTTGGGGCCAAATAAGCACTCCACTGGCTACCGTCACCTGTTGGCCACAGTGCCGAATCGCCTGGGGGCTGCAAAATTGCATAGCACCCTCTCAATTGCCGTGGCGCCGCAAACAAGTGCACCGCCCACAATTATGTCTATATGGCCACAGTGGGCCACAGTTTTTGGCGGGTTCAAGAGGGCCAAGTCGAGTGGAAGGCAGCTAAAAATCTAGCTAAATTCATACACCTTTTCGGATTGAATATCCCACTTTAAATGCATGCTATTTGGGATTATTCCGTTGGTTAAGTGAACTTAAGGGCATGGAAACATCAAAGTAACAACACGAGTTAATCGACGGTTTCTCGCAGTGCAGATGTGGATATAAATATGGATGCACACGTGGCCACTCAAAGGATTCGGGGCTCACCGTGTGTGTTTGGTCTGGGCTTCGCTGTGGCCAATTGAGTCCATCCCCAGCCAGTTCTCATCCTCATCCCCCAATTAGCCGGCGAGCTGCCAGGGCAATTGTGTCCCGTGGCCATCTAATAATACCCCCACCATCGCTGGCCGCCGCTGTGGATCTGGCAGTGGAGCTGTGCCCGGATTATATAAACTCCATAAACAGATGCAGTGGCAGCACACCACTGGCAATGCGAAAACAATATCAATGCATTAATTGCACGTGAGCACGGCGACTTGTTGAAGATGAGCGGAGATAGTCATTCCGAGCAGGAATGACCCATCATTAGCTATGATGAATCTGGCAAATGTGGCCAGTAAGCTGGTTAACTAGATGCTGATGGAAATATTTATTAGCTATACTCAACCTTTGGCAAGCCGCCACCATAGCAGACCATCAACTATCATCACTCACAAAATTTATTCTTGTTCTTGCGCTACACAATTCCTCTTATCAACTACCAAGAAAATTTATGCAAAAAAAATGTGTGAAAAAAAATGGGAAATACTAGCTTAGAAGTCCATGGGATGACAGCCATCCTCAGAAGCTGTAGTTGAGATTGCCGCTGGAGAAGCTCACGTGGGAGACGTCCGGCGACTGCTGGTAGCTGGGGGATCCCAGCACCGAGGACATGGGAACGGCCATCCCATAGCTCTGGCGAGTGGTGGGCGCCAGCTGGCTGGTGGCGAACTGCTGGGCCACCGACTGCTGCTGGTCACGGAGCACGTCCTGCTGCTGCTGCTGCATGAAGCCCATGTGCTGCTGCGTGGAGTAGAAGTCTCCACCCGCTGCCACCGCGCTGGCGCGCAAGGAACCAGATCCGGCGATGCCGCCTGGTATGACTCCTACGCCGGCTGGAACTCCGGGCAGAGTGGATCCGGATGCGAGGCGCTCAGGCTGCAGGCCGTTGCTGCTGAACTGCGGCCGGCGGTAGGCGAAGCGGCCAGCTGCGCTTTGTGCTGCCACGCCCACCGGTGCGCCTCCAACGTCGGCGGGGGCAGCCGCCTGGGATTGGGGTTGAATCTGGGCAGGTGCTAGGACGCCGGATACATCGGGATAGTAGTGGTAGAGCTTCTGCAGCAGCTGATGCTGCTGCTGCTCGAACTCGGCTCGTTGGCGCTGATAGTCCAGGAAGGCGGCGTGCATCTGGTCTGCATAGCTGGGCATGCCGACCACGCCCGCGCCACCGCCAACGCCCACTCCAGATCCGGATCCAGATCCAGCAGCTCCCTGCGTCGATGTGGCGGCCAGCAGTTGCTGCTGCTGCTGCGCCAGGAGCTGCTGCTGCTGCTGCTGCAGCAGCGAGTTGGGCGTCGCCTTCAGTTTGCCAGCGGACCGGAATCCTGGCTGCGAGTACACGGCAGGATACTGCTGTCCCGACGAGGAGTATCCACCGAATGGCGCGGTATTTAGCTGCATGGATGAGAGGATGGAATGGGTGAGCTATCAATTAGACTGCCATGCTTTTGATTATAGACACCATCAAACGAACTTTAATTCGTTGTGGTTTCGTGTGATTTCCTACCAGAAGTAGGCTGTTTTTCATGTGTTACTTATTTATGTATATTTTTTATACCCCTTCAAGTATTCCCACTTGGAGTCACACTCACGGTTGCAGGGCCACCGCCGTGGCTCTTGAGGATCGCGTGCTGGGAACCCAGGCCGCCCTTGGCCCATTGGCCTTCCGCATCAACCAGTCGACTGGCGTTGCCCCCGCGAACTTTGCTGGACCTCATGATACCCTGTGCCGACTGCCGCGATGTGCGCTCAAAGTAGTTGTGACTAGAGATGGTGTAACTCGAGTGAGGAGTGTGGAGTGTGGAGGGCCAAAAGTGGATTTCAATTTCAGATTTTGAAACAATTTGTGTGCGAAGTCTGTAGTAGAAAATACAGTAAAACTAACCGATCTGAACCGACCAAGCGAGCAAGTGAGACTGAGCTGGGGCAGCACGACCAGATCCGGTGACACCTGTCAGCTGTCGAGGGGCCAAACCGGAAGCCTACTGCGATCTCTACGGGCTATCGGCCTCGGATTCAGATGGATTCAAATCGCTTTGTCTCGCAGGGAAACACGCGATTTGATGGCTTAAAAAGCGCGAACGCAGTGCCGCCGCTTCATAGTTGGAACGATGGCTCGCCAACCGCTGGCACTGCTCCTGGTGGCCGTGAGTCTGGCCAGGATCGCGGCCAGGCCAGGGCCACAGAATCCGCTCGAGTCGCTGGGCATAGGCGCGATGAGTCTGGCCGGGAATATAGCGGAGGCGGTTCAGAGTGGCGCCGCCATGTCACGCGACCTCGACATCGACAATCCACTGATGTCCGTGCACTCGAAAACGTCCGTGGGCTACGGGGATGCCATACGTCCCATTGCCGCCGATTCATCCGAGGAGGATCGTCGCCGGAAGCGAAGGCGGCGCAGCCTACATCGCCTCAAGCGCGCTCCTTGCTTCTGGAAAATGGGCGGCGCCGCCACCACAATGGCGTCCGCGGACGATGATGTGGAGGCCAGGCGGCGAAGGGCCCAGAAGCGGGCCGCCAACAATGCCTCCCGATCCCGGGTGAGTCCCAAGACCAGCGGCAAGAAGAAGAAGCTGGTGCGGCGACGACGGCAGGCGGAAACGGGCATGGAAGCGGCACCCAATATGGACGCCGTGGATCCCTTGGGCCTGGGCCCCAAAATCAAGGCCATGTGGCTCTCCTTCGTGGACAACGTAACGGATGTGGTGCAGCAGGTGCGCCAGAGGATCTCCGATACGGCCAACGCCTCGGGCTAGGTCACCCAGGTCCCTGAACACCATCGAGTGTATTTTTTTTTGTTTGTCTATAAGTGCAATAAAAAGCAACTGGAAGCCGGAAATTATGCCAAGCGCAATGTTTTCTGGGTTGGACAAAACATCCCCATGTCGTCGTCATTCAGTCAAGTAGATTAAATCCATTTCTGCATCAATCTGTCAGCCAATTAAAGTAGCAATGCCCGAATAAATGGTGACCCCGAATGGGTTCGAACCCCGAATCATATGCATTTAAATTCAACAAATTCATCTCAGCTAGTTAGAGCTGCTTGAAAACCAGAGACCATGACATGGACACCACTTTGAAATGGCACACAGCGGTAGCTGCTGGAAAAGGTCACCGCAAAATAAGGTGACCCAGTCGAAAGTGATTCCTCAGTGTCATTTCTGGGCAATGCGATCGAAAGTGGTCCGAAGTGAAGGCCGAGAGAGCTTAACTGAAAGCTGTCCAGATGGGAGATACGGAAACGAGCCAGTGGACACTTCCGGGCGAGATGAGATGCATCTCGACATGCATGTCGAACATTTCCGTGTCTGGTCGAATCTGATTGGATTGATGGGCAGAGTACAAAAGGCGCATTCTGGCGGCTGGCCACAACAGTTGGCCAAATGACTTCCGGACCCAGATTCGCTGCCCCACTAATTGTGGCCCTGGCCCTCGTCCTGCTGGCCCACGCTTGGGCGGATGAGTTCGACCTGGACTACTCCAACGAGTACGACGATGTGCGACCGCACTTGATCTATCCAGACGATCCAAGGCTGGACAAGCGGATCGGCGATGCGGCGCGGGAGTTTGGACAAAACATAACCCAGGCCTGGAACGCGATGGTGGACTCGTTTAGGAACTACTTCGAGGAACTCAAGAGCCTGTTCTCCGACACCACGGATCTCAATTCACCCAATGAGGTACTACCCCGCCACTGAAATGTGGGCTCATCCTCGGCAAATAAAGCGCTGCAAGACGAGTGAAACATGCATTTGATTCGCTTGATTGCCAACTTGAGTGCCTTTGATTTATATAGCTTTCTATGTGGAGCTCTGTGGATGATTCAAGTAGTTCAAGTAGTTACTCAACTATTAATTTGGTCTTTCAATCTCCGGCTAATTAGATCTGTAAGCCAGCAGGCTAATTGCCAATAACAACATCGCATGCCAACTAAGCCAGATTAGATCGCAGCCATTTAGATTATGGAAGCATGAAAACACATCTATTACTTTGATTTCCCAGTATTTTGTTGGGCTTAACTGGATGCGTTCTGCCCAATACTGTGGCGTACTCACCAGCTGTTCCTGCTCCTGCGGCTGCTGCAACTGCGGCTGCTGCAACTGCTGCGGCTGCTCCACCTGCTGCTTCCTGGCTCCTCCGTAGTACCGGGTGAAGGTCTGCTGCACTCCGGGCGCCTTCAGGCTGTAGGAGTTCGTGTTGGCGTCCGTGTGGATGGAGACCTGTGCCCGGCAGACTTCCTGCTGGCCGGCCAGAACCAAGGCCGCCAACGTCAAGGCCACGGCGAACATGATTTACGTGTTGGGGCTAATGGATGGATGGGGCTAATGGCTAATGGCCTGGTATCGGGACTCCGTCTCCGTCTCCCGTCGATGTGGCAGTGGGCTAAGTCCGAGGAATCGTTATCAGCGGAGCGGACGCGACTCGCGAACCTCGTTGGTTGACTGTGCAGCGCCCGCCGGCTGTCCACCGATTTTATACCGCCTTTCGATTGGGGATTGTCCAACGCTGGCTCTCTCCCTCCGTCTGCCGCCGTCCCTCTGCAGTTGTTGGCCCAAAAACAGCCCACATGCACATGTTGGCCAGAAAGCTGTTGTACGTTTAGTGCTTTTGGCAGCACTTAAAGAAGAATTACTTAAGCGAATGGCTGAGATACAGGGATCAAGCAAAATGTTGCATGTTCCAGATACATGCTACCTATCCAGCAGATATATAAGCATCTACTAGGTTTTGGCTTTCTCTGTGCAGTTGGAAAGTAACTTCTGTGCGAAATCGTGGCCTGAAACCCATTAAATCTCATTAAATTCAATTGAACTGCTGTCTTCAAGTGGTTTTTGTTTTTTGTCGTCTATTATAATTTTCCATAATTTCAATTTCAATTTCAATATCGATTTCGATTTATATTTATATTTTATTTTAATTTCCCTCCGCATTGTGTTGTCTCACATTTCGCGTGGATAACTTTCTTTAAACTTTGGTGTCCGCGTGCGGAATATGGAATATGGAATAGGCAATGAGGGGTGTGGAGGGGAGACATGTAGATGGCAATTCCAATTCCAATTCAAATTGAATATGCTCCCCGGCACTTACATAACAATCCGCCCCGCTGGGCGGACGGCAAACTAAACATAAACACCGGCATAAAACGTTGTTTATGGGAACGTGCCCGGAATGGCCAATTTTTTGTCCCAAAAGCGAAACTCGCCAACTGCGGCTACACGGCGCGAAACTGGGCGCGCTTCCTAGCCACATAGTGCGCTGGCCCCAGAGCTGGGTAAAGGCATTTGTCGCAGTGTAGGGCTGGCAAAAACCACCGAGTTACGGAAGCGGGGTTAAGGCCAGCGTGGAAAAGCGAAAAATCGGCTCAATTGGAATGCAGTTTTGATGGCCCAAAGAGATTTGGCCCAACGATCGATTATGAAAGCGGCGAAGAAGACCTGGTTAGTGCGTAATGGTCACTTAAGGCGCTTACCTGGCAACGTTGCGTATACGCGATACGTGATCGCCATACATTTATTGGCGCATTTCATTCGCGGCGTGTAATTGAAAGCGCATTTCACGCGACTGAAAGTTGTCCGTCTGTCTGACTGTCTGGTGACCCGCATTACCCCAATAAAGTGACCCACGCCGAGTTCCCAACTTAATGTGCCCCGGGTAATGGCCATAAATTCTGCTTTCGGCCCGGCTGCATTCCTGTGCTTTCCGGCCGGGCGTGTTTCCACCATCAAAGTTGACTTTTCCGAATGAAATGCTTGTCGTTTTACGATTACCCCCATTCCTCCCCGCAAGCCATCAAAATAAACAGCGCAAATTATGCAAAGAAGAAGCAGGCCCAAAAGCAGATGAACACAAATGGAGACAAACTGGTAACAGTGGAAATGAATGTGGCAGTGGAGCTCGCCAGTCAAGTAAATCCAGCCAGCTGCTAAATAACGCCACTTAATCATTTTACTGGGTCAGGTCACGGGTGGACAACGACGACGACGCAGCCGAAGCCGGCGGAGGAGTCCGCAATCCGGAGGCTGAGTCAGTGGCCCCGCGCGTTGAACTTTTGAACTCGCGCACTGACCCTATTCCGGACCCCTGCCCTGCCCATTTCCAATCCTCCCGGGGCAGCCGAAGCTCCCCGCAGGCGCGTATTATTTTTCGTGGCCCAACTCTGCTTTCCCACGGATTTTATGGAGGTAAGCGCCAGCCCGGGACGCTCAGTCCCAAAAAGCACGGAGAAAAACAATATGAATAACTGGTTACTTACACTGATTAAATCATATTAGTCTTGTCTTACCCAAATGTTGAGCCGCAAGCTGTTGGTTTTATACACGTACATATGTGTTTGGGAGTGCTAGTGATGGACTGGCATTTCGCCCAGTGTAGGCTTACCTATTGGCCCCGGGGATTGAGCCCAAACGGGATTTGATGGACAACTCCGCAATAAAACGCCGTCGATGAGAGATTTGCTTTTCTGTGTGTTCAACTCACATAAAATTTGCTTTATTAGTTTTGCTCACACCAAGGCAGAACCACCAAAACCGAACCACCGAACCATCCAACAAACAGCCTGCGGAGCGGCAGAGAAAAAATGAACTTATCGCTAGACACACGCACGTACACTTGCACAAATAGGGGTATGTATGTATATAGGGCTATATAAATCTAGAATCTAGCCGGGATCGGGATCTGGAGCGGGTTGCGATGAGATGCCCCGTCCGGATCCGGAGGAGGCCCAACAAATTGAATCTGTATCTGGATTCCCGCTGAATGCGGGTGTGTGTGTGTGTGGGTGTGTGTGTGTGTGGGAGCAATTCTTTGGGGCTCAGAAGAATTGCCCAGTCTTACAGCTACAACTTGTATGGTTTATTTCGATTTTGTATTTGGTAATTCATAGTTCGTAGTTAGACTTTGATTTAACATTCAATAAACTTTTCATTTGTTTTCGTAATATTCAATATGTCTTAGCATATGTCTAGTGTATATATCGTAAATGTATATATCCATATATGTATGTATGTAGCTTGGGAAAGTTTAAAAACACAGGCACATCCATGCCCCGCCCTCCCTCCCCCCGTCAAAGTTAGCAACATTTAAAAGACATATATGTATATACTTGTATATATGTACGTTTTGTGGGAGTGCTTCCCATTTCCCTTTCTTGGCACAGTTTTCCCTTTTTCCCCCCTTTCCTCCCTCTTCCTTCTCCCTAGACTCTCTGACCTCTGAACTGGGACCAGTGATCTGTGATCCTGATCCCGTCGACCGCAAAACTCAACAAACATTAGTCAACAACCTGTTGGGCGAAGTATTCCAATATATTTCGTTTATCCTATGCATTTAGGTGTAAATGTATCTGTATCTCCGTGCGCCTGCAGTTCCCCACAAGTACTCCGTAGTCTCCCTACCATGAGCAACTTCCTTGGCTAAAAAACAAATCTGTGAGTTCACCCACCCACATAAACTACACAAAAAAAAAAATAACAACAGCTTCTGCAAATTCCCCCACAGAATTCCTCCAGCTGCACAGCTACTTTGCTGGGAAATCCGTAACCGTAACCGTAAAGCTTTTCGTTTCCCCACCGCCTCTGCTCCCCAAAAATCAGCCACAGTGCGGAGCCAGCTTAGAGCTCCGCAAAGATGTTCTCCCTGAAATCGAGCTCCGGATGCGCCGAGTGCGAGGAGGAGCCGTGCCCGTAGTCGTAGTCCCGCGACGAGGACTTCATCGAGCTGCGTCCGGAGACGCCGGATCCGGAACTGAAGCTGGCATTGCGCGGACTGCTGCGTCGCATCCGGCCGTCGATCACGGCCATCTTGTTCAGCGGTTGCGTGGGATCCAGCTCGCAGAAGGCGCCGGCAATCAGATCGGTGCCGTTTAGCGAATTGAAGCTGTCCCGCTTGGAGCCGCGTCCTCCGGCCACGCCTCCAACGCCCCCGCCGCCATGCTGGCCATGATGATGACCGTGATGATGGTGGCCCGAACTGGAGCCGGAACTCTTGCGGCTCAGCCGATTGCGACTGTACTGGTACTGATAGGCGGGAACTGCAGCGGTGGCCACCGGCACAGCGCCACCCGCACTGGGCGGCAGGTTCTGGGAGCCGCCGGGCGTATAGCTGTCATAGAAGTCCGGCGGCACCACCTCCTCCTCCACCTCCTCCAGGTGGTGCGGCAGCACCTCGTCGTGGCCAACGGACAACACGCCGCCGGCGCCGCTGGTCTCCAGGGTGGAGCACACGCTGTACTCCGTGGACAGTGACTGGGATTGCGAGAGACTGCTCAGCGGATCGCTGCCGGGCATGACCAGCGCTAATCCCGCTCCCGCTCCCGCTCCGGTTCCGGCTCCGGCTCCAGCTGCCTCGCCACGCTTCCCCTTCGGCGAACGCTGCGCGTAGAGCTTCTCGATGTCCGGCAGCTGGCGGCGCACCTTTTCCCGCTCCCGTTCCCGCTGCAGCATCTCCTGGATGTCCATGCTGCGCTCCCGCTCCAGCTGGTCCATTATCTCCAGGTCGCGCTCCAGAGTGCTCGACGAGAACGTGCTGCTGCACTCGCTGAACGACACGTCCTTGTGGCGCAGCATGCCGCCGCCCGATCCTGGCCACCGTTGCGGCGGCACCATCATGCTGCTGACCACGGAGCTCTCCTCGCCGTCGCCATAGTTGCTCGTGCTGCTGTCGTCCGGGATTACTACGCTGCCCAGGCCGTTTCCGTTTCCGGTCGCGCCGGCTGTCACGCTGCCGCTGCCATTGCAGAATGTCGAGGCTGTCACGTTGGACAGACAGTCGGCGGTCGGCTTGGTGCTGCCGTGCCGCTGGCCGGGATTGGTGCGACTGCGACTGCTGCTGCTGCTGTTGTTGTTGTTGTTGTTGCTGCTGTTCTTGCTGTTATTGTTGTTGCCGCTGGCGACCGTCTGCTTGCGGTGGGCGACATGGGCGGCATGGGTGTGACTAGTGGCGCCATGACCCACGCCATCCGAGATGATGTTGATCTTGACGTCGTGCTTCTTGCCGCGCACATCCCGGCCCAGATTGTTGACCACACCGGCATCGCCCGCCCCGCGACCGCCCGCCCTCTCCCTCTCTCTGTCCCGATCCCGATCCCTATCCCTACCCCGCTCCCGCTCCCTGTCCCTTTCCCTGTCCTTGCCCTGGCGATATGGTGCTCCTGAGTAGCGATCTCCGCCCGCCGACGATCCGTGTCCTGGCAGACGCCCCTCGCGCTCGTGTCGCAGCTTCGACGAATGCTTGTGCGGCTCAGCGGCGTGGTGAACACTGGTCGTGTTGGAGGCCTCGTCCTTCTCGATGGAATCCTCGCGGGAACTGCCCCCCACGCCGGATTCTCCGCCAGCATCGCTGCGACGCTGGGATTTCTGCTTGCGCTTCGAGGATAGCCGGAAATAGCCCCTCAGGCGCTCCTGTTCATCTCTGCGGGATGTAGGAAAATGGCAAAAAGTGTCGGAGGATGAAGGTAATGAGTCATCTCTAGCTGCTTGGATAATGTGCAAGGTGTTCTGCACATCTGGCTCGCTCACCTGGGCAATATCTGCGAGGCGTAGATGCACGGAAAGATGACCGTGGGCAGAAAGGCCACCCACACGAACATCAGGTAGGTGAAGTCAAAGTGCTTGGCATTCTCGTAGGTCTCCTCCAGCGAGAGCCTGGCGAAGCGCAGGATCATCAGTGGGCACATGCACACCACCTGGGTGGCGGCCATGCTCCCGAAGTTGCGCTGCTTCCGCTTCTCGCGATGCACGTCCAGTTCGGCGCTGTACAAATCGTAGGAGCGGGCGGAGCTGCCGCCTCCGTTGCTCAGTCCTGCCACGCCCCCGCCGCTCAGATGGCGCGGCTCCACCGAGGATGTGGAGGAGTTCCTACCAGGACAAAGATGTATCAGATATATAATGCTATCTAGTGTCGGTTTGTGCTCGGAAATCCTATTGGCAAGTAAGCCAGTTTCCAATCTCCTTTAGCGCACAATAATAGTAAAGGGGCGAGCGGAAAAAGGTGGCTCAGGAAATTGGAACTCGTTAGGGAGGAGTCGCTTGGATGGCGATGGCTCATTAACGCTGCACGGGCTGAGTGATTGCGAATCGGGTTACTCGGACAGGCACCACTGATTGGTAAGTCACCGAATTAATCAGCCCAATTAGCGGGCAGATAGCTGGCCTAATATTTCACCCCAAACACGGCGAGTGCTTACCGCTGGCGCATCCGCAGATCCGCGCGGTGCTCGTACATCATCACGGCGAAGGGTCCGTCGGGTGGACGCAGCTCCTGGGAGGTGCGGATGTACAGGTAGGACAGCAGAATGGCCGGACCGCAGTACCTGTAAGTCATCAGAGGGGTCAGAGGTCGCTCCTCCGAGAGGCAGCGGGATATTGGTACTCACATGAGCAGGAACAGACCGCGCGTGTACTCCTGCATGTCGTCCATCAGGTTGACCACGCACAATCCGATCCCCGACAGCTGCGGCATGTAGTCCTGCAAGATGAACATGTGGCGTTTAGTGATGCGAGCGATTACGCCCAGATAGATATCTTTGCGATTTACATTATCCATGCAAAACCCTACTTTAGATTGGAAGTTTTTGTGTTGCCAGGTAGAATTGCGCGAGTAACCTGGCACTTTGTGCCGATTTCCCACTGCCCCACTTATCAGCGAAGTACCGAAATCAGGGGCATAATAATGTCATTCCACTCCACTTCACCTCAAGCAGTGTCTAAATAATTGATTTGACTTTCCGTCTTTGAAGTGGCCGCCGCTTAGCCAACCATCGTTTTACATTTTAAAATCGGGGTCGGCAGAGTGCTCGGCACAGGTCGTTGACTGGCATTTGGAATGGATTGCCCGATGTAGTGGCCCAAGTGGACAAACTATTTCCATTGATTTTATAATTACAGAGCCGTTTTCAAGGGGGAAATCCGCAGGCAGCTGCTTCTTTGATGTCTGGTGGTCTACTATCGATTGCCTTGCGAAGAGGTTAATTGAATCAACTTGTCTGTGTATCTGAAGTGCGGTATCTACAACCCGGTTCACTTTCGCGCCACAGAGCGACCTCGACCTCGACCTCGACCGTGACCCTGACCCGGCCAGGTGGATCCGCCCTCCTCATCATCCCCACCATGCCCACCACGCCCGCGATCTCGGAGAGAATGCCATTCCCTCCACGAAAGGCACGAGATTACATCGTAATTGTAATTACATATGAATTCGCGCGTAGCGAGAAACTTTTTCGGAAATTAATTTTCGAAATGAGACAAAGGGCGGAAATGAATTTATGGCCGCCTCCAAGTTATTTTCTCATTAAGCTGCTCCGCAGGATGGCAGGTGCGTATCTGGAGTGTGATTGGATGCGGGAACGGAGGCACTGGGAGACCACCAGCCGGAGTGGCCTTAAATCCAGTGCGGGAGTGGGGGAAATTGGCGTGTTGGAGGGCCCAGTGTCATCATCAATCATGCGAAATCATCGGCCAGGTCAGCTGGCCAGGTGCGATGATCCTCGGAGCTTCCACGGCGGAATGGGGCCGCATTATTATGTGGCGCATAATTATGCGGCCAGAAACTCGGGCGAAAGTTTCCTTATTTGCTGTCGCCTTTTCTGTATACAAATGTGGGGATGTGTGGATGTGGGATGAAGGATGAAGGATGGCGGCACACATATGGAGGCACTCGAGGAGCAGGGCAATCACAAATGATTTTGTATGAATAACTATTAAAAAGTTTGCGATTCCCTCGACGGCAGGCGGTTGAAACTTGGCCCCAACTTTTAAATCAAATCTCAAACTACCGAATGGCGGGGCAGGGCAAAGGAGCGGAGTGGAGCGGAGGAGCCTGCCGGAGATCCTTGGAGTGCTTGGTGCAAAACTTTTCCATTCGCCGAGTGCCCGAAATTGTAATGAAACCTTTTCAACCAAATCGCATGGCGCCGCGCCCGCTCCTTTTTGGCCCAAAGTCATTTGGGTAATGAACTGTTAGCGCTGTACAATCTGGCCAACAAATCTGTTTTGAATACTTTGCCCACTGCGCACAGTCCAATGCAAATAAACGACAACAGTCACCAAAGGGCGGGGAAATCAAGCGAAGAGGCTGCTACACTCGGAAAAAACACCTTGTTCATTTCGATAGTTCTAGCCCTGCAAAACCTAACCAAATCTTACTTACAGCATATTTTTTTTAATATTTTCAAGATGTTATTCGATGCCCAACCCCTTCCGCAACCCCAGACAACAGATTTATGGCTATAGTAATTACCAAATGCTAATTTGGCCAACTGAAGAAGTCAGTATTTTCCGTTATGGTAATTGGCGAGGTGAAACTTTTTAACGAGTTTCAAGTTGGGGCCCGATAAACCGATGTCGCTTTTCTCCCTGTGCAGCGTTTGCCTGCCGCAGAAGGGGGCGTGGCGAGTGGGCAGAGGGGTTGGGTGGGGGGCGGTGTGTCAGCGGATGCTGCACGCAATTTAACGAGTCCTGGGGGCCATCCTGCAAAGGATACCCAGGATACCCGGCATGGGTATGTGGCCTTGACGGCCGGCGGTTCCTGGCTGGAGATCTCGACTCCTGGTGGCGCTTGGTGGCGTCGTTTTATGCTCATCATCTCCTGCCTGGCTGGCTTTATGGGACGGCAAAAGGAAGTCAAAGGATCTCCACTTCGCCCAGCGGACCGCCAGTTATGATTAATGCCATTGATTTGATTCGTGTTGGGCGCAAATCAATTTAAGCGCTGGCCGTAAACACTTTATGGGTGGACGATGTCGATCTGGTGCTCCATCCCATCCCAGCCCGTGCCAGTGCCAGTGCCAGAAACATCCAACAAGTGGCCAGCCCATTAAATTGGCTCGCATTATGGGGCTTTTTCGCCCCGCATAAAGATATTTACAATTTGGCGCGCGTTTGCCAAATAATTTATTGACTGTAGACAAACGAGTCTGGCGATTTCGATGGCGTTGGGAATGGGAGTGGGAGTGGGAATGGGCAGGGGCATGGGTATTTGGATTCCCGGTAACCAGGCTCAGGCCGCCACAGGCAAGCACATTAATAACAATTTATTTCCGTGCTGCCAGCAGGCAAGCCACATTCCGCAGACTCCACCGCTGGCTCCCCAAAAACAAATTGCAACCGAGGAGGAGGAGCAGGAGCAGCAGGAGGAGCAGGAGGAGGAGCAGGGCGCCTGCAGAAGTATCATCATTTCCACTGTCGCAATTTTGACTTTGACGAATTGCCCCTCCAGCAGCGCAAGCCGGTGGAATAGGTCCCGCTTTTGGCCCTCTGGTTATTGGATGATGGAGTTGGCAAGAGCTGTTGGAAATGAAAAGCATTTAATAATAATTTCCAGGCGAGGCAAGCGAAGAAGTTGCTCCGAAATGGAGATGGAGATGGATATTGATTTGGGTGTATTGGGAAAAGCGGCCAAAGCAGTTGGAACTATTCGTAGCCTTGGAGCTCGGCTGCTTCCTGTCAATTGCACCTGCTGGGCTGGGGTGGCGCTTTTCTCGCCGGGATTGGAGCGCTTTTCTTTGAAATCTGATGTCCTTGGCTTTCAGTTGCCGCGCAGCACACAGTCTCATTTGTCAGCCTCAGATGTTGGCCATATTTAAATATATTTATCACAGCGATAATTGAATCGCAACATTGCCTCACACACACACACACACACACCCAACTTTACACACGCACACGAATGTACATCTTAATTAAAGGAAAATAATTGGGAAGGAAAAGCGGAAGGAAATTGAGTTTGCAGAGGCGCCACTCGCCGAAGAAGAAGGAGAAGGAGAAGGAGGAGGTGAGGTGAGTGAGAGAAAGGTTACCAATAATCGCAGTTTCAAATTATACGAAAATTGCTCCTAATGGATGGCGGAAAAGTCGAAGCAGCAGGAGCGGAAGAGACAATGCATAATTAAAAACAGAGTTTCGTAATTTAAATAATAAGAAAACAATGAGCAGACAAAATGCTTTTGGGTATGGGCTGGCGGGATTATAATGTAAACAACTGAGCGGAACCCAAAGGTTGGGCCTTCGAAATAAAGCCGGGTGCAGGAGCTCCTCTTCTGGTGAACTGGGTGAGCTGGGTGAGCTGGGTACACAAAACAAGCGGCAAATGGGGACTCCGAAAAAGACACGGCCGGACTTAATGGCCGTAAAATGCTGGCCAAGCGGCCAGTCGAGGTCACAGCACACACACACTGGGTGGAGGGCACGCCGCATCCTGGCTGACCAGAAACCCCGGCCGGGATCAGGACCCCATGGACAAGGACAAGGATCTGGACAAGGCGGGCTTACGATAATAACACAATTATGTACTTACGTAATTAAAGTCGTAAAGTGCACAAAACACACAGAAACAAGTGCTCACACACACAGGCACACCCATACAAGACAGGACTAAAAGGACACGAGGAGCAGAAATCGCCATGTGCACAGTAATAATATTTCCAGAGATACTCATCGTGTGCTAAATCATCCAAATTCGCATTTGCATTTGGTAGCCGCATTAGTAAGGCCAACATGCTGGCTACAAACTTGGCCTAAATTTCCGGTTAAACGTGATGCCAATCATCTTGAGCTGAAAAAATTCCTCTCCTCGAATTAATTACTTGCAATATTTACCAATTCCAACTTAAGTAAGCCATGGTATGAAAGCTAATAATGCCTTGAAATGTGAGTGAGTAACAGCCAAAAATCAGGTGCTACGCATATGGCCATCCATTTTTTGCAGTGCACAACCACCGGGTTGTAGGCAGAGGTGCAGACTTTGGCTTTGATTTCCCCCAACCAACGCAGCTCGTCGTTTTTATACTTTCGTTTTGTTTTAAGTGACAGCGGAAAATGCAAACGAAGTGGAAAGCGCGAAAAAAGTCATTATAGTGGGTGGGAAAAGCGCGGTCCGATCGGGGAAACCCGCGCAGATTGGCAAAGATTGAGTGGAGCCAAGAAGGAGACCGAGTGGATGGAGTGCGCCCACTCATTTCCATTCTCATGCCTGCTCATACGCACTCACTTTTCCATTTCCACAGTTTTCCCGCTGCCAAAGTTTTCCCACCGACTCAGCTTGCACTTGATGTTATTAATACTTTATGCTTATGCGCGTAACAACAATGGCTGACTGGCAACAGCAAACACATCCACTTTGTGCGAATACCCAGCTCGCATTGGATTCTACAAAATCGCCTATTATGAGCTAAACATACCTGAAAGTATTTAATGTATTGATTTTCTTACAAAATGAACAGGGGAAAACTCAAACAAATCGCAGTAACGCAGCTTGTTTCTATTATTTTTTCCAAGCGCCAAAAATGAAGTTAATTGTTTTAGTTAATATAAAGATGAACAAAATATTTTTGTTCCTTATTGTGAAATATACTTATATATGAATTTAAACAAATAAAGATTAAAACATATTACTTTCGTTCTGAGCACAACATTTAAAATCAATAAATCCAACGTGTTTCTATTATTTTTTCCAACACTGTACATATATGT